TACAGAGGTGAATAAAAACTTCAACGTCTCATGGGCGAGACACACACAGGAAATGTGATCGTGTGTGTTGGAAACGGCCGCCTCTCAGAGTACACGCTTAGCGGACTGTGGCATGTTTGGTCGGAGGACAAGCAGCCCAAGAAAGCGTCACAGGCAAGGACAAAGATGCAGTAATGGATCAGCTTTTCTATCTGGGCCTTTCAAGAAAGGACTGTTAAGGCTCTAAACAGGAATTGAAAGTAATGTAAGACAGGTCATACTTATGTAGATGCCTGTGTTCTCCGTCCAGCCCCAAAGCTGAGGACATGTGTGCCAGTCCTCCTTGTCCTTCGGACTCAGCCACTGCCCGCAACCACGTAACCAGGAGCCAGCCGCTTTGCATACGTTGGTGAAGTCGCTCTGTGCCCCAGCAGTGTAAAACTCTGCCTAGGTGATCACTTGCCGCTTCAGCAGGCTCTCGGGCAGCCAGAAATTAAGGATTAAGGCTTCCTCTCGTCTTCCCTGGCCGTGCACAGAGACCTGCACATGTATTTGACCTTCTAGATTCCCAGCCACATACTTGAGCCTTTAAAAGCCAAGGCTGGTTTTGGCAGGTAGACCTTCTGTCTGATCCTGGGAGGATAGCATTACCTCCAGAACTGCAATCATACTGGGTTGGAGCTCGCTTCAAGGCTACTGCTAGGTCTGCCCTGAGGTCCTCAGTTGGCGTGCTTGTTACGAGGGCTTCGGCTGGGCGTGGATCCTGTCTGGTCCCTAGGTGGCAGAGGCTGGCTCTAGCACCTTGTTTGGTAGGGCGGTCCTGGGTCTCCAGTCAGCTAACTTGTTGCTAGGTGCACAGGCAGGTGTGGCTTCTGCCAGGTCCCTGGGAGGGCTCCCCCTGAGTGGGCAGGACTGGTCCTGGACCACACCTAAGAAGACCTGGAACTAAACCCTGTCGCTGTTTCAGGTTCCATAGCCAAGACTGAGGTCTGCAGACCTGGCTCTGGGGGCCCAGATGAGCGTGTCTCCCACCAGGTTCCTGGGTGGCTGGACTGCTTCCTTGACTGAGACTGGAGGGGCTGGAGCCAAATCTAGGGATATTTCAGGATCTCCTGAGGTGCAGACATGAGTGTTTTATCGAGGGTCTTTGAGTCAGCAGGATTGCTCACAGACTGGCTGGATGGGTCTGGAAATGAGCGTTGGGCCCTTTAAGGGTCTTTGGGCTGCAGACAGCGCCGTTTCCGCCTGGGACCCTGGGGCCGCAGGACTGGTGGCGGACTGCAGCTGGTGGGGGACTCCAGGATCCCCAAGGGTGCACACGCCGGTGTCTCCTGCTGGCTCCAGGGGCCAGCAAGCCTTCAGATGCTTTTTAAATCTTTACGTTTTTAGTCTCTGCTGCAGCCCACTTGAGCCAATTACTTTTTTCTTTCTAGAACGTTGCATTTGCCTAGTCCCTTTTGTTGGAGCCCTAGTTTACATTAATAAATTCTAGTTCAAATGATACTTATAAATTCTTTCATCTTTCTTTCCTTATCAAAATGCTTCTTTTATATTTTGGATTGAGATGTGCTGAAAGATCCTTTCTTAAGGCACTTATCCTACTAGATTGATTAACCTATTAGCCTGACAGGCCTCCCTCGTCTTTATATTCCCTGTCCCCTCCGGTGTCTGGGACAGTGCAGGAGTGCAGTGATGTTTCTCATGGCATAAACAGTCCAAAACTCAGCCTCCTGTCCGCAAACCTCACCTTTACCAATTACTGTGCAGCCTGGGTGTCTGGTTGAAATTATTACCAGTATAAAGCAATAGACTCAATAGAGCCCTTATATATTCACATATTTGGGTGATTTGCTATGTTAGTGTACTTAACTCAATGAAAAATTAAGTCTTTTGACTCTATTTTTCTTTCACAACTTGTATTTTTTTTCTATGGAACAATCATTATTATTTAGAGCCTTGGGTATTAAAGCTCTTCCTCACATCAAGAGATACAGGTGGGTAAGGGTAATCAATGCATAAAGTAATTGAAAACATGAATGAAAAAGCTTTTTTTAAAGACGAATGTCACTACTACCTATTGCAGAGGCATTTTGGCTAAATTACTGTGCAGTAATCATGCTAAAGGCATTGGTAAATGAAGAGATGCAAAAGAAGCGAAGGCAGCAGGCTGAACTACACACTTTCAAATAATTTTAGTATCAAACCTAACGCGTTGTAATTGTTTTCTCTTTTTAAGGTGGTGAATCCCAAAAAGAAAGTAAAAAAGAAAAAATATATTAATTCGGGAACAGTAAGTCCAATATTATGTTATGCATGAAGGATTCAAATAAATGAATAAAAATATGTACGTGTAACATTTTTGATCAGAACAGAAGTAACTCAAGACTGAGCCTCTTCTTTTAGAATTTTAATATGAAGGTATATAGTAATAGAAACTTGCTGTGGGAATGTTTCTGATGAAAAGCACCTTCTGGGAGGTACTGACCCGGCCTTCTGCAGGTTGCTCTAGGGGTTGTAATGCCTGTGAGGGAAGCTGAAGTTTTCTTAGGAATTCTTCATTTAGTGGAAACACACTGGAGAGAATCACACAGACATGAAAAGTTTAAGTGGCCTTTAGAAATACTCCTTATAGGCTGCACTTAATTATTATGACTGATATTGTGGCATGTGAAAGTGCTTGTTTATAGTGCATTCACATTTACAGCTCTGTAGAAATGCTGGACTAAGTCAGTGCAGAAGGTGCAAAAATGAAAGTATATTAAAACCGTGAAAAATCAAAATCATCCTATTTTGATAAAAAAATATACTGAAGATTTTATCCTAAGGTTAATTCTCTTTGGGAGACGCAA